ATGACAGATATACTTGATATAGCCAAAACTTTCAAATCTTTTGATGAAATGCTTTGATACTCAGAATATAAAGATATATTAATAGTGTAGACAAGATGACATGGTCAGCATGCACATTCATGCACGTGCGTACGCGTGCAATGAGTAAAATTACCAATATACTTGATATAACCATAACTTTTACATTTTTTGATGTAATGCTTTGATACTCATAATGTATAGACCCTTTATAAATGTAGACAAGTTGACATTGTCAACATGCACATGCGCGGGCATGCAATGCTAAAATGACCAATTTACTTGATATAGCTGTAACTTTTACACTTTTTGATGAAATGCTTTGATACTCAAAATATGTAGATATATTAATAGTGTTGACAAGATGACATGGTCATCATGGACATGCATACACGTGCGCGCGCTTGCAATGCGTAAAATGACAGATATACTTAATATAGCCGATTTTTTTATCTTTTGATGAAATTTGAATATAAAGATGTATTAAAAGTGCAGACAAGTTGACATGGTCATTTTTTACATGCATGCCCGTGAGCGCGCGTGTAATGCGTAAAAAACCAATATAATTGATTGCCTTTTTTAATGAAGCTTACAGGGAATAAGACACCAAAAGGAAGTTGGGGAGCGTTTGGGGAACATCTGTAACGGTCCCCGTTACAATTAATACTAGTTTCTTGTAGATTTCGAAACGATGATTATATTTACAAATGAATGTGATGAATTTATTTTTAAATATTAAAATATTTTATTGGAACCAAACGATTTTTTCTGTAATGTTATGGACATGGTGCGGCATGGAAGAAAATTTTCTGGACACGGTGCGGCAGGGGAGCAATAGCTAGATTTTTTCTATGGACACGGTGCGGCACGGTGCGCCTACCTGTGTATTTCAAATTCACACACACCGCACTACAACATGTGCAGGCTGTAACTCAAATCATTTCACAAAGTGTTTTTTTTACCGTGCGACGGGGAATTAATACTCGTGGCCTGTACTGTATATGTAATTCGTTAAAATTTTAAACTGAGCAGCAAAGGGTATGATCAGATCTGCCTTAATATCACCAGCAGGTGGATCTACATCTTTGAATGTCAGCTTCTTTGCGTAGGGAACAAATTGACAAAGGACCCCTAACGTTGTGAAGACGGTGGCTCAATGGCTAAAACATTTGAGGCATGCTCTACGTATGAACGGGGCAAGCTATTGACAAACAAGTTGATGAAACAAGGATATCAACAATCTCGTTTGAAGTCATCTTTTCGCAAGTTTTACGATCGATACAATGAACTTGTGAGCACATACAACCTATCATTGAGTCAAATGCTGACAATGAACTGTCTACGGATTTTTCAGTTTTTTTTCTTGATCATGACAAGGAGCACACGGCAGGTGTGACCGGTCGGTAGGGGATGCTCACTCCTCCATGGCACCTGATCCCACCTCTAAATTATGAGGTCCACGTTTGTTCCGCTCAAAATTTGTATTGTTCCATTGGACTTTCGAGATTGAATACTGTCGTTATCTTTATATTACACTTTGGATGATTAGATCAAGAGAAAAGTTTTGGTAATAATTGTTTGCGTTTTAAAACTTCTTTGGGGATTCAAAAGAGAGAAAAAGGAATATATGTACCTGGCAAGACAACTGAGTACAGGCTGTTACCATGTTCTCAAAACCCCTTATTGAAAGTAAAGAAAGTAAACTTGTTAAAAACTAAAAAGGTTACGCTCTTCTTTTTACTCTTTGATATTATTGAAACCAAAGAGATGACATTAAAGGCTTTCTGGAAAGCCAAACTTGCCATTGATTGCAGTTCAATTATTTAGATAGAGGAAAATAAAAAAAATGAATTCAAACACATTTGTTTAATACTGGCGATTGTTGGTCATGGCATATCCAAGAGCAGCAAGGGGTCGGGGAGTTTAAAGAGCGATCCCGAATTACCACCATCAGTAGCAGCATTCAACCTAAATCTTAACCAACATAAATGTACATTTACTATTATTAAGCACCATATTGCCGTTCCGAATATACCACAAACAGTAACCTTACAATTGATTTAGAAAATCTGTGATTGATTGAATATTTTTTACATGAACCTGTCTGCTACAAAATTCGTTTACCCAGGACAGAGTGGAGAAATTTGAGGGATTCCGATCCGGATCTAATTTATTTTGAAGCTCACAATACTTAAATAGTAGATTCTGATTTTACTTTTTAAAATTATTACCATGTGATTTCTAAACTATTTATTTTCAAAACAAATTGTAATACTGGTAATTCAAGTTATTTCCGATAGGATATAATAGGAAACACAATATTTAGATATGTTGCACAATTGAAATGTGATATATCTTATTTTTGCGAGGAAAACTCGTTTAAGATACAATTGTTCATCACAGGTTCTTTTACAAAAATTATATTGAGTAGCCTGTTCTCTGACCTTAAATATTGGATTTTTTTGCGGTATGATATCTTTTTTTTTTTTTTTTTTAAATTGATATACCGGCATTACGTATTTCAGTAAGTAAAATCTTGACAGGATGGTCAATATTTTTTTTATTTGATTATAGTAATACACGTGAAGTAACATGACAAAAATTGCTTTAAAAAATATGTTATGGAAATTATATTGTTGACAAAAAGGATTATTTATGTTTAGCCGATCGCGTAGGATAAAAACAGAAGGAAAAAGATGCTTGGCCAGAGTGCAGGATTAACCTTTTAACCGCTGACAGGAAGGATGATGTTTTTCTAAGACAGATTGGTTTTTAAATTTAGAAAAAAGCTCTAACTAAGGTGACGCTCCTTTTCACTCTTCGATTTATGGAATAGATCTTAATATAATCAGGCTTTGATATTGGCCTGCCAAAAATGCGAGAGTAGACAGATTTTTATTCTTGTTTTAAAACTGTATATTTTACCATTCTACCATATTAATCAAATCAAACAAAAGTGAATTGCCTACGTGGTCACTGAACTTAACATAACAATAGTCATTTTTCTTAAATGGTAAGGACATTCATAATAGCAAGCAATAATGCTAGAAAACATTTTTTCAACAACGAATGATATCTGATAAAAAGAAGAAATTAACAGCATAATCATCATTATTTTCCTCCTCCTCATCATCATTATCTCTCGCTCAAAAAAAAAAGAAGAAAAAAATCCACATTTCTTTCCTTATATACTTCCCGCTTCTTTTATAAATGAATTTCCAGATAGACCGGATCTTCCGTTGTGGAATCAACCAGGTCATAGGTATGTCTGTTTCTTTGTAATGTGGAATCAACATTGTTATACGTATATCTGTTATTTGTCGCTTTAATTCGATCATAATCATGTATATTTCCTATCATAAATAACGTCTTTCTGTTTAAATATTGAACTTTGCTCTTCCTCTTAGTGTGTAAAATTCTCAGGCATACAATTATAAGAGTTATAGCAAGAAACATTGAAACACCGAAGATGATGAAAAATAGCGTCTTCCATATCCTGAAATCTAAAATATATAAACATATAAAATGATTGATCAACATTTTTTGACATAAAGTATAAGCAAAGGTTACTTGCATTGTCTTTATATTTTTTGATGTGTTGAGGATCACGCAGAAGCAAAACTAAAGAAATAAACCACACCAAAATTCATGCACGACTAACGAAGAAATTGGGGAAATTCTCCTCCAATATCAATTCATAACGACTATAGCAATTGTTTTTAGACTTTTCAATAATTTATTTTTGGTTCTTATAATTTTTAATGCAAGGAAAACGATATTTTGTGGAGGAAGGTCAATTTATTCATTAAGAGAAATAATTGATTTTTTTTTTCTTTTTCACAATGTTTATTTAAGCTAGAATAAGACTTTGTTAATTCCACTGATTTATATGATCAAAATAAAGGAAAATCATAAGTGATATATGTGTTAGACGCAATATTATCGATGCAAAAAGTGCATATTAAACGCATCATAGTGCCCAAAGAAACAATATGACCTCCATCGTGTTAATTGTAATTAAGAATCTTGATACTTATATACTTTAAAAAAAATCTTCAGACTCTTAAGAAGATCAATTCTCCTCAAACTTGATATACAAATTCCAGTTACGTTCAAAACATCACAAATATTGTCCATCCCTTAAGTACTTGTATATTCGTCTCTGTTTCAGCTTGTCATACTGGTCATTTATGTGCTAAACTCTATACCTCTGTGAAGGTCTCCTAACATTCAAATTATTCATGTTGGAAAGATTCTTTTTACCACATATATATTCTTGTTACAATGTTTAATTTTTTATTAATCGTGGATGAAAATTCATCGGAGTGACCTTTGAGATCACTGTCAAGGGAGATAATACAGAGGGAAAAATCACAAGAAAACTAATTAATATACACGAGGTAACAATATTAATTATACGGTCACACTTAGATCCATTCCAATTACCATGACTTTCACCAGGACACGTTCCATTCACCTTATCACAGTATGTCCCATTTTCACAATATCCGCACCTGCCTTCGCAGTTTAGTCCATAATATCCGTTTTTGCATTCTTTGTAAGAAAAAACAAATTCAACTAAATTTCCCGTCACTATAGTTATTTCTTAATCAATCCTTCTTTATTTGATATATATATATATATATATATATATATATATATATATATATATATATATATATATATATATATATATATATATATATATATATATATATATATATATATATATATATATATATATATATATGTATATATATATATATATATATATATATATATATATATATATATATATATATATATATATATATATATATATATATATATATATATATATATATATATATATATATATATATATATATTACTTTTTAATCATTACCCATTATTTGCGATAAACCAAATAAAAATATATGTTAGGGAAATTTTGACCCTTAACACAGGTTAATCTTAACTTAATTCTTTACATCATGCTTAATCTAATTCACCAGAGTTTCTTTGTAATCGTATTCTGGAAAAAAAAGTGATAGTTAAAGAATTATAATTGAATTAGAAAACTTCAGAATAATGTTGAAATTGCACTGTAATATGAAATGAGCTATTCACATTAGATGTAACTTGTCGACTATTATAAATTTTAATAGAGATACTCCAAGATCACAGTTTCAGAAACGGGGATATTTATAATTAGAAAATGCCAAGACTATACATGTCCATTGCCTTGTATGTCGTCACATCTGTGTGATTAAGTATAGAAGATAAAACAGGATTATATAACTTGTCAAATTCATTGATACATTTCCTTTCATAATTCATTTGTTCAAATCAGCTGAAAACCAGTCTTACCATTACACATTTGTCCATCCCAATGATCCTCACAACCATCTGGACATATTCCGAAGGAAGTATTACAGTTTGTCCCATTTCTACAGTTTCCACAGAAGTTTTCACATGTCTGCCCATAAAGTCCTGCTTCACAATCTGTGAAAAAGAGGGATATATTTGGGAACAAAAATATGAAAAAGAGTTTTTTGTAATCTTTAAGAGGATTATCAAAGCTTGTTCATAATTCATTAGCTGCATTCTTGCTTAACAGAGATAACATACTACTACGATGTCAGTATAGAAAACTGCAATTATATTATGAAATCTTGATCAATAAGAAAATATATATGTACTTGTAAAACATTAACTAGTTGGGTATGATAGAAACATTTTTTTTAGATAGAACACTGAAAAAAGATTGGGCTTAACATGCAAATCTTAGATGATGTGAATCAACAAATTTGACAAAATCTTAAAATCAGTGTTTAAAACAGGTTAAATTAGTGATTTTACCGTCACACAAAGAACCAGTCCAGCGGTTCTGACATCCTTCTGGACATATTCCTGTTACGTTATAACAAAAGGTTCCGGTACTACATTTGCCACAGTTTAATTCACAGGTTGCTCCATAAAATCCATCAGGGCACGCTGATATAAAGACGTATTACATTAATTTAACATGTACATTAATGTACTTTGTATAAGTTCGACGGAATGAAAGATATATTGAAGCGTGTCTCTTACAAGACTGCAAATGTAATTCCCTTCTTGTCATTTATCTATCCCGCATCCTTCCATATTGATATGTATACATTTTTACCACTGTATTTATTCTGTTTTTCCAACATAGGCATGAAAGGCAATAATACTAATGATTTAATTCAACATTTTATTCACAAGTTTATGCAGATTAAACCGAATAAAAGACGTTGTGTTTTTCTGTTTACTCTTTTTTTGAAATAGGAATTTGTATTAAACTGATCAGTGATCAAATTATTTAGCAATAACAACAGCTTTTTAGCAAAACAGTACAAATCACAGTTACCCTTGGATTTCAGTAAGGCATGGCTTTTTCGACGCTAATAATTAGCGTCTTTTAAAAGGTGACCTAAATTCTCATTACTTTCTAGCTCATCAATATTCAACACATAGCACAAACAAGTAGAAGTAGAGTTTGATTTATTTTGTATTGTTTCATACAGTGTAGAAAAGAAAACGCAAAATTGTGGAGAGTTGATAATTTCTTTCCGGTGTTGTCTAGTTTACAAAATTAAACATGAGTAAAATTGCGTTTTTTCAATGACATTGAATAAACTTTCATTTTTTTTCGGTGGCAATATATTAGAATCCTGCATAGCAGGTGTAAATTTGGATGGTCAGCAGATGCTAAAAGGTAGATTGTTTAGGTTCAGGCCAAAGGCATTTTTTTTTATTTAAGGAAAGGGGGAGGGCAATCTCCAAATAAAAAAAATGAAAAAAAGAGAGCGACTCCCTAACCTAGACAGGTCTAAGTAAAAAAGCTAAAAAAAAATAGCATATACTAAGAGAGAAAAAGCAAGTAAAGATAACAAATAATGTTATGAAAAAGAAATTAAAAAGAAAACAATTACAAATAACAAACCTTTGCACATCAGTCCATCCCAATGATTCTCACAGCCGTCTGGACATATACCGGTGGTTGTATTACAGTATGTTCCCGTTTTACAGTTTCCACGTTTTTTCACAGGTTTGTCCATAAAACCCTTCTTCACATGCTTATGTTCAGGGGAAAAAACAAATGGTTAACATTGACAAAAAGCATCTATAATAAGAAATTAATTGTTTTGGTGATACATGTATTTCGATACTCTTTTTTCGAAAGATGTTCATAATTCAGTGAATGCGTAGTTGCCGTTCAGACATAATAAAATAAGCTCTAAAACCCCAATATCATTTTCTAGAATGATTAAGATATAAAATATGATTAAAATAATATATCTGACAATTTACAGAAGAATCCTATTAATCTGCGTTTTATCAAAAAAAAAAAAAAAAATATTTGAAATAAAAAGTATTAAAATATTCTTGAATAAACATTCTAAATTAAAAAAAAAAGTTTAAAAAAAGTCCAAAGATTCTTTCTTGATCACAATTGTGACCTGATAAACCAATAATTTTACCGTCACACAGAAGTCCAGTCCAATGTTCTTGGCATCCTTCTGGACATACTCCCGTTATATTATCACAGTATTTTCCATTGCTACATTTGCCGCAATTTAATTCACAGCTTTGTCCATAATATCCTTTTTTGCAAACTGAAATGAAGAATAATGAGATTCAGTATTTGTATTAAAGGAGGTAAATAACTTTCAGCTGATGTTATCATACTTTGACGGTCTATAAAAAGTCTTGCAAAAAGTCTCCTCCATGGCACCTGATCCCACCTCTGATGTTTGGAGGTCCGTGTTTGCTCTGATCCTATTTAGTATTAATGGACTTTTGAGCTTGAATACTGTTCTTTATCTCCATATATTTCATTGCAATTAATATTTCAAGCAGTGACATTTATCTATTCAAGAAATGTAGGTTTTCCAATTCTCTTTGCATCATTGTCTGAATTTTGTATGTCCAAAATGTCTGTTAAGTGAAAAAAGTACTTTTCCACAACTTTTACCTCCAAAACAGTAACTATCTAGAATTGAAAAAAAGTAAATTATAATGCTGAAACAGTAACTGGCCAGAATTGAAAAAAGTCCTTTGGGCAAATGATTTTTAACAAAGATTTGAATAAACCTGACTTTACACTACCTGGAAATGTTACTACATAAGTTTGATCTATTATCATTGGGTGGTCCTTGGGAAGATTTTAAAAACAAGGTCTCATTAATTCTTCCCTAATTCGTTATTATCTCTCTTCTGAAGAAAGCGAGCCCTTCATTTGAGAAAAAAAAAATGATGACAACATTCTCTTCTACATTGAGATAATTTCTTCAAGGCAAAGAACTAAGAAAAGGAAGTACCACCCAGTGTATCTTTACTTTATTCCTATAAAACTGACACAGTTAGATAGACCACTTAGTTCTGCCATTCGAAAGAAATAATACCTTAATGCATGAACTTTTAAAACGGCACTTAGGGCCATAAAGCAGTGAGGTATCTTTTTCGTGACAGCACCTACTACTACATCGGGGCTAAGTTTACACGGTCTCATACGAAGGACCAATCTCCACCTGCCGCAATGGGAGTCGAGCCCTTGACGTAATGATCAAATCCTTACACCGCGAAACCAGTACAAACGCTCTAAGCACTGCGCCACGCGGACAACAGGATATTGTAAAAATATGTTAAAAAAAGTAGCGCAGGGAAGCCTCTAGACGAATTGGTTATACTTAAGTACACCGTTGTATGAAAACGACAACCTAAATAAATTCTCGTGTGCAGAGGTATAATCTCATTGATTTCTATTTACGTCCCTTTGCTAAGCTTTATACGATCAAGCGTTTTCAATATTCCCTGGACTCAGTTTGTGTATTGATTTGTAAGCTGTAATAATAATAAGTAAAAAATTTGTTTGACTTTTTTTTTTCTATTTCCACTGTTTCATCACCCCATACGATGATTCTAGTTTGAGTCTCAAACATGTTAGTATATCCCTATTATGATGTCACGTTGTGCTACATGTACATCATATATTTCTTAATGTTTCATGCAAAGTTAGGTATAATGTACAGATAGTTTCAAAGAATTTTAGTAAAGTAAAAGGGGAGGGGTTACATGAAACTAGTTTAGAAAAAGAAATACTTTTAATTTTTTTTCTTAAAGACTCAGACTCAAATATATTGAAACTACGTTTATATATATATTAAAACAGAATGTATTAGACGCCTCTGGCGTAATCTGTAGCACGTCGGACTGACAATCTCGGGATCGTAAGTTCGATCCCCAATGTGGGCCCTGTGGGATTTTCTTCAGAAAAAGAAGTCATGCACTATTTTGGCATAGAATGCTTACGCTATATAAATCTTTAGAACACTATGCGAAAATAGTTTGGTATTGATTATATAGACACAAACTGATAGGATGCATACTAGGTATATAATAGTATATTGCTTTGCATGTACTATGTAAAAATAGTAGTCAGGTATTGAGACATTTGTACGAGCCGGAGGGAAGTGCGCTATGTGTCAAACCCTGCCTACTATTTAGGCATGGTATAGGCAAACCATAATACTATTGCCATACGTTTGCTGACTGTTTTATGAAAACGACAACTGAAATAAATTCCTGTATGCATGCAGAGGAATAAATTTCATTTACGTTTCTTTTCTGAGCTTTACTCGATCAAGCGTTTTCAATATTCCCTTGACTCAGTTTGTGTATTGATTTGTAAATTGTAATAATAATAAGTACAAAACTTGTATGAATATTCTTTTTTCCCATTTTCATTGTTAAGCTGCTTCTTCACCCTTACAAAGATTCTTGTTTGGGTCTCAAACGTTAGTACACCCCCATTATGACGTCACATTGTGCTACATGTAGGTCATTTTTTTTTTGTTTCATGCAGTTAAGTATAATGCACATACAGATTCAAAGAATTTTTGCTGAGTAAGGGGGTGGGGGTTGAAACATGAAACTTTTTGTAGAAAAGAATTTTTATTTTATTTTTTCTTAAAGTGTCAAACATATGAAACTACGTTTATATACATAATATAGATTGTATAAGACAACCACGTCTGTGACGTTATCAGTAGCGCGTCGGACTGACAATCTCGGGGTGGTGAGTTTTATCCCCGGCATGGACTCTGTCGAATTTTCTTCAGAAAAAGAAGCCGTGCACTATTTCGGCATAGTATGCTTACGTATATAAATCTTAAGAACACTATGTGAAAATAGCTGGATATTTATGATATAGAGATACACCGACAGGAAGCTTAAGCATAATGATTTTCAATAAAACACAGGTCAATAATTAGAACAAGTTAAATCATTTTACCTACACACAAGGAACCATTAAAATCATCCGGAAAAATCCTTATTATATTATCGTAAACAGTTCTGATGCTATACTTGCTGCAATTGAATTCAAAGGCTGCTCCATGAATCTATCGGGACACGCTGACAGGAAGAATAATTACATTCATTTAACATGTACTTTTGTAGGATAGATAGAATCTACCCAACAAAAAATATTTTTTAGGCATGCCTCTTTCAAGATTGCAATTATAATCCCCTTTATGTCAATTACCTATCCTGCATCCTTTCTAATTGTTATAACAACGTTTCTTCCACTGTATTTATGTTCATTTCGAAACGCAGGCGTAAAGACGAATAATGACCTCCGTAGAAAATAACCTATCAGCCGTAGAAAAATGTATTTTTTGTATAAAAAGGGTAAGTTTTCTGCATGTGCAACTTAAAGCCCCTACCCCCCAGTTGAAAAATAACCCCCATACCAATAGAGGAATACATAGTTTTAAAAAAGGTAATTGATGTCAAGGTCTGGGTCTCAACGTTTAATTCTCTTGCCTTTTCCGTATCGAACAGTCGACGAACACCCAATTAAAATGCAATATTACAGCATTACATTTGTTTCTATCTATTAGAGCTTTTGTTTCTTGACAAACAATTAATGTCTAACAAAAGGTCGGTCACAGTTGCATTTGGTTAAAAGTATTACAAGTATCTTTATCTTTCTTAATCATCCGTTCTTTTTTTTTAATATTGTATAGATTTCAGACGTTTTAGCCAACTAACAAATAAAAAAATAAATGATTAATGTCTTCTAAATCGGCTTTTTCAACGCCATGATTTAACATGTCTTAATAAAGTTAAACTAGTAATCCACTATCACCTTATATGTGTTAAATATTACACATGCTCCGAGTACGATCAAGTTTTAAACAGAGGTGGGATACTGACAGATATGTTTATGGTATAACTTTCACCAGTTTAAATCAATGTCAGGAATTCGAAAAATTATGGATCATTATAATGACCCTTTAAACAAATACACTAATCCACTCCCTCCCACAATTTTTTTTATGTTGTAAGGTTTTACGTTTTACAATTTTAGAATCTTGATAAGTTTAAGTAATTTTCAAAAAAATCATAAAGACATTAACTTTTATACAGAATACAATGCTATGTTACGAAGACGTTGAAACCCCCCCCCCCCCCAAAAAAAAAAAAAAAACATAATTGTTTGGACGAATTAGACATTTATTTTGACAATAGGTCTGTTACGTTTGTATTTCTTCAGACAAACAAGATACTTATTTGGACAAAAAAGTTATTCCTTCGTGCGAATAAAGATATTCGTACATTAGAAGTAGCTTAAATTGTGTTTGTTTTTAATTGTTTGGACGAACTGAATATTTGACTGAACAACTTAGAGAATTACATCTTTGTTCAAACACATTTGATGTTTCTAAGAATCCTTTGCACACGATTTATCATTTCTCTGATAAAGGAGAGCACCCAGAAAATTAAAGATGGTATAAAGCACATGGATCAGGCCACGTTATGGACGGGATAAGGATGTCTGTTCAAGTTTATTTTTTTAATTGACTCCATTCTTTTGCATTTTCTGGTTTCATTGAAGTTCAACTAACATTTTATATTAAATTTTCTTGCATCCCCCCCACCCCCTTTGTTTGCCACATACACTGATAGTTACAGTTGTCTGTTTTTTTTCCTGTTTTGATGAAAAGGTACCAAAAATATCCAAAACATCACGTAATTCCTCTTATTCAAATTAAAAGAAACATTTGATATATGTCCGAAAATTACCTATATGTAGACTGTTAAAATCATTGACTTAAAAGTCACTCAAACGCAATTTGATTAAAAGGTAGTTAGACATTATGTCTCTCACTACCCATCCCCCCTCTTCTCTCTCTAATCTCTCTGGAATAATTAGGGAAAATTTAACGAAAATGTCTTAAAAACAATGGTACATTTGTCAAATCAATATGGAAGCATTTCTTTATAGACAAGGTTGCCATCGATTAATATTTGTCATAAAAAATAGATCGTTTTAATCAAAAAATTTAATAAAACCAACATATCATCGCCATAAGTTGCATTTGTATAATGTTAAATTGCCTATTTGCATGCATGGTTATACAGACAGGTCGCATTTTTTTTTCAAAACACATTCCTTCATTACCTCTCTAACATTATTTTGACTGGTCACGGTAACCTAGTGGTAGTGCGCTCGCTTCGTGATCGGTGTACCAGGGTTCGATTCTCGTTTACTGGGCAGCTTCAAATCTAAGACGTTCACATTGGTAGTGACAGTTCCTTCGCAAAGCGCCCGACACTAGAAGTGAAAGTTACGGGTCTTTCTGATGAGACCTTAAATACCGAGGTCCCGTATCACGGAAGGCGTTGGCAGGATAAAGAACATTCACTTCTCAATGGCCATGAGTGTCGAGTATGGGTCTATATTTGAAGCCCTTCACCGGCATAAAGTAACGTCTCTATATAAGTAGAAAATTCTCGAATGGGACGTTAAACAACAGTCAATTAATCAATGAAACATTGCTTTGAAAAAGAAGATGGAAAACAATTACAAATGACAAACCTTTGCACATCAGTCCATCCCAATTATTCTCACAACCATTTGGACATACTCCGGTGGATGTATTACAGTATGTTCCCGATTTACAGTTTCCACATGTTTTTTCACAGGTTTGTCCATAAAACCCTTCTTCACGTGCTTATGTTTAAGAAAAACAGATGGTTATACAGACAAAAAATAAGTTCATTTTTATGATATTTAGATAATTCTTTTCGAAAGTCATTCATAATTGAGTGAATGCATACTTATATTTCAGAGACCAAATAAAACTAACTTTAACAATCCAGTTTCATCTGCTTGAAAGATTAAGACCTATTATGGGATAAAAATAAAATATCTGGGAGCTTACCGAAAAAAAAACTTATCTGCCTTTAATTAAAAGGCTTTCTATTTGAGATAAAACATACTGAACTATTCCGGAATAAGCATTATTCCGTAATAAACATTCTTAATCTAAGAAAGGGGTTAACAAATTCCAAAGATTCTTTTTGAACACATTATGAACTGATAAACACAAATTATTTTTACCGTCACAGAGAGAACCATTCCAACGACCTTGACATCCATCTGGACATATCCCCGTTATATTATCACAGAAGGTTCCGTTGCTACATTTGCCGCAGTTTAATTCACAGCGTTGTCCATAATATCCTTTTTTGCAAACTGAAATAAAGAATAATGAGATTCTGTAGTTGTATTAATGGAGGAAAATAGCTTTCAGCTGATGTTATTATGCCTTGACGGTCTACAAAAAGTCTTGCAGTTAATATTTCCAGCATTGATATTTATCTATTCAAGAAATGTAGGTTTTCCAATTCTCTTTGCATAAGTTCTGAATTTTCTAAGTCCAAACTTTGGTCAAGTGAAGAAAAAAGGACTTTTTACCAGCATTTGCAACTCCAAAACAGAAACTAGCTAGAATTGAAAACAAAAGGTCCGTGGGTCCATTGATTGTGAGCAATGATTTGAACCAACCAGAATTTACAGTACGTGCAAATGTTTCAACATGTTTCATCTTTTATAACCGACCAGTTCTGGAGGAGATTTTGAAAAGATGTCATAATTTTTTCACTTACTCGTTATTTTTCCCCATTTTGAGAAGGCGGGACCTTCATTTGCACAAACTTGAATCTCTTTTACTCCAGGATACTTTTTGCAAGTTTAGTTGAAATTGGTTCACTGGTTCCTGAGAAGAATCAAGAATGTGAAAAGTTAACACACAGACATACACTTACACAGACAGCTAGACGAATAGACGGCGTCGGAAGAAATAAAATCAGAAAAACTCACTTGAGCCCATGGCTCACGTGAGCTAAGATAACATCATAAGCAGAATAAAATATGAAGATAACAAACAATATTCCTTCTCGAAAGTTCAATGAAACATGACAAGGGTATCTTATACGGAAGTCATTTTTCATCCTCCAGATGAAAGTTCAAAAGTTCTACTGAACATAATGTTTTTTTTTTATACGTTGAAAGACTTCTTATTGTTATTCTATGGGGATTATTACCGGTAATCATTAAACAGCAGGGATGACCTCTGATGACAAAGTTCTCCCTTACACTTTATATAGAGATGATTGCCCGAGCCCAATGTCCTAAGGCTATTAAACACATTGAGTTGCTCCTAGAACCAAGTGAAAAATATTCTGATCTATTTGCAGATAAGACATAAAATAACTGTTTTATTACCTTATATTATACTAAGTATGTGGACACTGTCAGTCCAATAGATTGTCAATCCGAAATTCGCAAACTATTATCTGGTAGTTAATAGATGACCGGTCCGAAATAACAAACTATTGACTGGCAGTCAATAGGTGGTCAGTCCGAATTTCGCTAACTATTGACTGAGAGTCAATAGATGGCCGTTCCAAAATTCGCAAACTATTGTTTGCGGACTAAAAGATCACTCTAAAAATACTCAAATAGTTAAGAGAAATGAATATAGAGACAAAATAATAAAAAATAAAAAAATAACATATTGAATAAAACAATAAAATATGATGTATAATTAAATAATTTGATTTATTGAACCAAGAATGTAAAGTGAGCTTGTATAAATTTTATTTGTAGATCATTGCCTATTGGATAAGTCTTTTATTTCATACATAAACAAAAAAGAACCTTTAAGAAAAAAGATGAATTTTGTAGCTCTGCAGCACAGTCAAGGTGCCAAATGGATATATCGGCATTTTTTCAAATCAAAAAATACATTTTTTAAAAGTATGGCCCATTATTTTGGGGTCTTAACTGATATCAAAAAGTGATATGTGGTTCAAAAGTACATGTTTAGGACGGTTAGATTTTTTATTCAGATTTATCATGTAAAATGACAGTCATGTGATTTAAGCATATATACTTGCAGTATTGAAGTCATCTATAAATTCTTATATTCTCTAACAAAAGAAATACTATAGTTAACTATAGTTAACTATAGCAAATCAAAGTTTCAAAGTTATCACTATAGTAAATCAAAGTTTTCAGTGATCACTTTAGTTAATCCATGTTTTCATAGTGAACACTATAGTACATCACAGTTTACATTGTGATCACTATAGTAAATCAACGTTTTCATAATGATCACTATAGTAAATCAAAGTTGCAATCTTTACAAAGTCAACATTATGGTTTATAAAGGTTCTTGACATAAAGCCTCTAGAAATTAAATGTTTAAAATTTATTACTTCTAACACTGTATAATTTTCTGTGATACATGTAAAAGTTATTTAATTTCACAGCATTGGAATTATCCAGTTTTGCAGATTATCTCAATGTACGGAAGGTATATTTTGATGTCTTCTATTTCAAAGTATTCCATAAATTTTGCATGCAATTCATTTTTTGTATTCAATTTTATTCTTAATTTTATACTTTTGAAAAAAAAAAATAAACAATGGTTTCCGAAGACTTCTACTGGATAACATTTCTAAAATGAAAATTGTTTAGCTTTTATTTCAATTGACCTTTTTTATATTGGTGAATAACATAATTTAATGCTATCAAGTATGTAAACAAGACATATAGGCATTTATATCAAATATATTTGAGTAATAACTTTTATAAATCAAAGTTTTCATAAGTGAACAATATAGCATTTCAAAGTTTTTATAGTATCAAAGTTTTCATAATGATCACTATAGTGTATCAAAGTGTTCACAGTGTCAACGTTATCACTGTAGCAAATAAAAGTTTTCATAGTTATCGCTATAGGAAATCAAAGAGTCAAAGTTAACACTATAATTTTCATTGTGTCAAAGTTAACACTATAGTTAACTGTAGAAAATATATGTATGCAAATAATATTTTAATATTTTATTAACATGTAAATTTTAATCCCCCCCCTCCATTGAACTGTTCAATATTGAATTGATTTCTGCCTGTTCCTAGCTGATGTGCTTAGGTGTGCGATGTGGCTCATGGGCCTCTTCTTATATGTGACTATGTAAAATTTTAAAGCTTAATAAAAAATGAAATAGCTTGTCTATTAAAGAGCATTATTTTAAACAATAAAGTACTTCTCTGGTGTGTTAGCAAGGAAATCATCCAAAACGAAAATGCTTAGTTGACCGTCAACTAGTCGTCAACAAGCAGTCAACTAGTCGTCAAGTGAATATCAAAAACAATTGATCACTGGTAATTGAATTTTTTTTTTTTTTTTTTTTTTTTTTTAAAGTTTTTACTGTTTTGCATAAAATGGTCAGTTGACTATTAATTGACTGATTTCGACTAAGTTTACCATTAGTTAAATGCTAATACTTTGAAAATTTCACGCAAGGAAAGAGTTGACCATTGTTTAACTCTCCTACTTCGTAAAATCTTGCAATGTTGACTATAATTGACAACTCTGTGTTAGAAAAACTCTCGGACTCTATTCATGTTGGGTTTAAAGCGACACTTTTATAATCCGGGATTGCAATTTCATTATTATTAAAACAATCTAGATTTGAATTCAAGAAACGTGTATTGGTGTGTGTTTTTGGTAGAAAGTGGGGATTTGAATCGACGAATTATATAAATATTTTTGTTTCATGAATGATTCAGCTTGTGCAATCGATTTAAGTATAATAGTCAAATATTTTCTATTTGTTTATATTCTTTTCTAAAAGATATCGGGAAGACTGCAGACTATAGCTTGTATATGTCTCAACTAGTGTGTACGTGTTGTGTACGTGTATACAAACAACAAAAACTCAGAAAGCTTGTTGTGCATCATTTCTTTTGTTGTGTTTCTTGTTGTTTTGTTGGTAAAAATATACCATTGCTTTTGATTTTTATACTTTTCTGCGCCGAAAAAAAGGAGGCATAACAAAAGTGAGAATCTGCCAGCTCAGTTTTATGCATTATATGTATAAATAGCATTTTAATGGCCCCATTGTTCTGTCTTTTCCTACCATCTGGACTTCAGTGTCATGGTAGCTTTTCAAAGCAACCCGCTTACAAGACTGAATAACAGAATATTCAACAGTGGTCAACTGCACAGAAAATATATGAGTATCCACAGTGGTCAACTGCACAAAAACTATAAGAGTATTCAACAGTGGTCAACTGCATCGAAAATATAAGACGTTCAACAATGGTCATCTGCACAAAAACTATAGGAGTATTCAACAGTAGTCATCTGCCAAAAAATGGAACTATTCAACATTGGTCAATTGTAGAGAAAATAAAGGAGAATCCAATTACAAAGTAAAGGTCAATTGCACATGTAGAAAAAACTGTCAACTGCATATAATATATAGGTGCATTGAACAGTGGGTAACTGCACAGAACATATAGGACCAACTTTATGAAAATGAAGATCCCGTAGTTGACAAAAAATCAACTAATGAACAATTGACGGGCAATTGATCGTAAGCGAACCGTCAACTGAATACTGCAATTGAACTCTCGTAGTCCTTTTTCGTATGGGTTTGTCTCAGCTGTTGCAGAAAACAAAAATGCATGTACCTAACCTGCATCAGCTGGTTATGTACTTTTTTTCTGCAATAGCTGCAGCCGTTTATTCCAATACTAACAAACGAAAAAAAACATGTTATCTTTTGTATTTATGTATGTAAAAATGATCATGTTAAGAAAGATTAAGTACGTTTAATATTGTATCACTGTATGTCTCATTGATGGTAAAGCACACTGTATGAGAAATCTATAGAAGTGGCTTGAAAAATGGTTCTAACCGGCGTTTGCTGAATAAAAAATGGGATGGGTTTCATAAAATCATTAGCAGATTTTAAACTTTTACAGTGAGTCACATTAGCAAATGTTGCTAGAAACTGTTTTCGTCTTTATATATATATATATATATATATATATATATATATATATATATATATATATATATATATATATATCGTGCTGTTGATAATTAACAAGCTCTATATATTATAGACTATTCATTTGAATTTAAGAGTATGTAGATGCATTTGTATGTAGTTTCAAAGTATTAGAACTTGAATATTGTTTTTAAATCAAGGGTTCAATACACTGACAGAACCAAATTTAGAAGTTGCCTCCAAGTAACCCACCTTCTCAACCCACTTCCCCAACGTATCATTATTTGTCATCGCAACAATCTATTGCACCGCAGTTATTAGAATATCTCTTTCTTTCTCTATCTCTCTCGTACATGTGTCAAACGTGTAAGAAAGTTTATGGATTTTGTAAAGTGACTTACTTGAACTTCGAAAATAAATTTCTAAATACGCTATATTAGACATGCGTTTTAGTGAAAATTTCCACCAAGCAACTTTAAACTCAGGTTTAGCCAATGTAATACTGCAGGTGTTTTCACGTTCCTCCTGGAGGTAGCCATCTACTGCTCTGTCTGCAGGTGCGTTATAACCGCTGTATGTTCTACTCTGGGATGCATGTCCTTTATACGGTGGTAACGAGCTAAGATTATCTTCAAACAATAGAACATTAAGTTTACTATAAAAGGTACTATGTGAAGAAAAAAATGACTATGCTTAGAAGAAAAAAAGGTATTTATTAAAAATCTGTGCATTTATCGAAAAAATAAACATTGTCAAAAATCATGCATATTTTTAACAATATGTTATTTACCAAATCCTTCAACTGTATGGATAGCATTCCAAAGAAATATGAGGAGCATTAATCTTTTAAACTCCTCCATAATTGCTAATGATTATCCAACTGCATTGCCATTCGTCAAAATTTACACGATTTTGAAAGTTAAAGAGAAAAAACACAAATATCACCACACTCCGATGATTTCCTATGAGGAAAAATATTGAATTCCACAAAAAAGATTGAATTATAAATTTCCTTAATTTTTAGTAATACATTACACTCTATTGTGTACCTTTTATGCATGACGATTGAAAACGCATAAACAATCTTTACCTAAACAATGTGACACAAGATCTGAAATTGCGAGGAATTTTCCCTATTTCTATTTACTTTCTTTTTCATAGTTTCGTAAACTTGTCTATATTTTTAACAAGATTTTCCTAAAATTGCCTCAGAATTATGTCACATGTGTTAAGCATTTGAATTACAAGATGAGGCGTCATGAGTGAAAAATTAGAGGGAATCCGCTTTCAAGCACCTAAAAAAAAAATTGAATAATGAACGGTGGTCGTAGAGTTTTAGAATTAAGAAAGTCTCTAACCTTTTCCTTTGTAGAAGACCTCCTGGAGAGCTATTTCCATCAGAAAACACCATAGCTGAACCATTTAGCAAACAAATACTGTATTTGATTTATCATATGATTAGACAGATTTGCACCTGCCTATGACTAAGTGTAAATGTGCTTACAGGAGTATTTTTAGTCCCCTACCGGTGAAACCAAAGGGGACTATAGGTTTCCTTTGAGTCTGTCCGTCCGTCTGCCTGTCTGTCTATCCCTCTGTCTGTCTGTCAGTCTGTCCAACTTGGTTTTTCCGCACTTTTTTTCTAAACGCTAGCAGATATTGAGCTGATTTTTAGTATATGAGTGTATCTTGATGAATTACAGATCAAGTTTGCAGTTCGTTCCGCTTCAATGATTTTTAGGGGATTTACGACCTTTTCAATTTTTCAGGGCTTTCCGCATTTTTTTTCTAAACGCATGCAGATATTGAGATAATTCTTGATATGTGACTTTACCTTGATGAGTTCAAGTTTGCATTTCATTCCGCTTCAATGATTTTTTGACGGAATTATGGCATTTTCATTTTTTAGCGGGAACCAGATTACTCTTGACGGTAGGGGACTAGTATTGCTAATGCAATACTCTCGGAATGCTTTTTTTTTTTTTTTTTTTTTTTTTTTTTTTTTTGCATATATACATGTACAAGTACGTTTTTACAGCGAATTACACTTACATGAGTATATTTATGCAATTTATGTACATGTGAGTAGAGCTCGCCATATAAACAGCATATCTAGACGACCCCTATTCGAGAAACAGTTGCATTGCATCGAGTTTATTAGTAAGAAGTGTTTTCCAACGCGTGGTGAATTGGGTTCAATTCAAAAGTCACCATTGCTAGATTCATAAACTGTTATCTTTTAAAAGTTTTCTGATAAAGTTTAAGAGGTTGCTCACAAAGGATATAATAGCATTGTCTCAATGAAACCACAACTAATAGGCAAAGTATGGATTGTCAGAGTTAAAACAAGTATTTTGAAAAAGTTTTGCAAAAGTCTTTACGGATGTCGGTTGTTGAGTCAACTAAGTAAACCTGAACCAATGAAGCGCGCAGTTTGTCTTCTGCACTATGGCAACACCGTAAATCTTTAAGTCCCATTGCTGATAAAAAGAATATATTTATGAGAATATATTAATACCACATATTTAAAAAAAATCACCAGAGATCGTTACAGGTAAGGTTTTGTTTAAGTCTCAGGGATTGCCCTATGAATTCACACTGACAGTGGTCCTCACTTTGTAAGTAAACATTTTATGAATTTTATGTTGAACAATGGTCTAACTCATCAGAAAACGATACTTTTATACCCGCAAACAAACGGCGATTCCGTGCGACAAAATATTTCAATTAAGATATGGCAAAGAATTTCTTTTGCTGAAGGTCAAAATTGAAATTTGAACTTGGAACATTTCTTCTGATGTATCGATAAACTGAATATCTGACGACTAGAGGTTATCAATCTCAGATACTTTCCACCACAGTATTTATTGATATTCTTATTATTTGAATTTTTATTTTTAAACATCACTTGTCTCCATAGACTAATGCGATTTCTGTTAATTAATTACTGCTTAGTTGATTATATTTTCGAAATTTTCTTTTGGCAAATCCTTTTCTACTGTAAAATGCTTTGAATTGATATCAGAGTATTATATACGTGACGGATATTTAAGGATAGAGAATTCGATCCAATTAGGGATGGAAAACCTTTAAGTTTTGTTTTTTTTTCGCATTCAACATACATCCTCTTAAATCATTTCAATTCAAGTAAATATACATTTAGTTTATTTACTGTTGAAGTTTATCATCCCTTACAAGATTTCTGAAAAAGAAAGTGATACGACCAATTGCCATTGAATGACAAATTTAGACTTCTGCTTGGTATTTAGGGCCACTGGGCATTGACGGTTCTTAAGTGTACCAACGAAAGCCGGATCAAAATCAATTGATACATTTTTTTAACCTAGGTTTGTTGCTGCCGGACATGTGTGATAGGATCTGCATGAATAGTGGCTTAATTTGAAAAAAAAAAAAAAAAGCTGACAGTAATTTGGCACCATTATACACCGGAAGGAGACAGTCTACATAAATGTGTAATATAGTATTCCTTATGGAAACAACATTAATAAATAAGCCATATTTGTTATGTAATTTAAGAAAGAACATTACAAAACGGTTCTTACAAACATAATTATGAATAGTTGAGATTGTATGTGCAGACGTAGGTTTTTTAAATGGGATTTCCACAACGAGAAGAGTTTTGAAAGAACAACACATTTAGAGGAAATTTCAGAGAAATGGTTTATCAACTCCATCATGATATGTATGATTGTCAACAAACTTGAAGATATTCCTACCATATATCAATGACATTAGAGATAACAAAATTTCAGAAATTTCATGTCCCTATTCCATTTCTCTCCTTTTCATCAGTGTTCACTATTCTGCTCTCTTCTATGTTTACAGTTCGGTCATGCTTGATTTCATAGAATGAAATATGCGCCAATTTGAGTGTATGTGTCTTCTTGTAAAGAAATAAACTGTTCATGGTAGCTCATTTAGTAGAGCGCTCGCTCCGTGATCGGGAGGTCGTGAGTTCGAATCACGGTCGCGACTGACCTAAGTCGATAAAAAATTGGTAGCAACTGTTCTAGGCTGCGCTAGGCAATTTGAAGTGAAAGTTGCGGGTCCTTCCGATGAGATCTTAAAAACCGAGGTCCCGTGTCACGGCAGGCGTTGGTACGATAAAGATCCCTCAATGCTCAGTGGCCTTGATTGCCGAGTAAAGGTGAAAATTTGAAGCCCTTCGCCAGTTTATGGTGAAGTCTCTATATGAGTGAAGAATTCTCGAATTGGACGTAACAACATACAATCAATCAAAGAATAAAATCATATAAAAGCCTAAATATTGAGACAACTTAGAATAAGTATATCAAAGTACCTTAAAAGTTTACTTTCCTATTTACTCAAAATACAGTATGTGTGAAATAATTAAAGAAGTAAATACAACCAGGTTGTTTTTGATATCTGCATGATCCATTGAATGCATCACAGTCTTGTTTATGACATATTGATGAGCATACTTTGCAACCTTCTCCGTAAACTCTAGATTTGCAGCCTAAATCAAAGCTACCAACATTTATTCATTGTACGTTGATTATGAGAATAAATATTAAAATTAATTCTATTTTTGGTGGTAATTTATTACTTATTTTCCTTTTCTTTTGAGGATTTTGTTTCTTGTTTTGAGTTTTCATTTTGTTTCGTTTTCTCTTCCTTTACCTAATTGCAAAATATTTTCTCGCCGCTTGGTATGATACAAACCTATGACCATTACTTCACATATTTCAATGGTAGCAAATGAAGGCTCATAATCTGTGCAGTTTGTAATGAGGGGAGGATCCTTTGAATTAAGGAAGCGATTGCAAGGCGTCACGTGATCGACCCATGTGATGTTTAAAAAAAGAAGATTAACGGTAACCATTTCCGGAATAACAGCTTGATTGTGATTACGCCCATGACAAAAGGTCTTCGTGGCAATATTTTTTAAAACAGAGAAAGAATAAGATAAAGATGTGATTTTGCAGAGTGCTGGTGAGCGTCAACGCGGATTTTTTTTTTTTATCCCTGTTTTTTTTCTTTCGACACGTCTAACTTTTGCCGAAGTTCTGAACACTGAAATCTATTTCATGAATAAATTTAATTCATGTCTGGCTCTTTATGTCCTCTAGTTTTATTTGAAATATTAGAATTTTATTTGAGATCGATTTCTTTACTATAGGATCTACATCTATGAATAGATATTCATTTCCTAGAAGCTTCAGACAGCGTGATTTTCTAAGTGATAATAATGAATATAGGCCTATATGGATGAACAGATAAACGCATGCGATTTTCATATATACGTGTATAGACCAGTTTGAGGTCGCATGCTTGACATGAACGTATTTTTAAAGATATCGCAAAGGAAATTGTTTTCCTCAATAAGATCTTCTCTAGCATTTTCAACTCTTACATCGACCATGTAAACAATGAATCGTCGGCACATATATTGCGGAAGCATTTGTTGTGGTAAAATGTTTTCTGCGTCGTATTTGGTAAAAAATTGAAACTTACACACACTTCTTCTGATAGAAAAGAAAAGTTTCTTCACAAATCTAGCAAAAAATACGCGTGTAAGAATAACGGACGAAACTAAGAGAAGTTAATTCTGACAATCGAGGTACTACGGAGGTACCAGGTATACCAGAGAGAGAAAAATTTTTTGAGCACATAACGTTACATTTAAAAAAAAATCAACTCATCATGCTCACGGGAATATATTTGAAAAACGAATTTAATGTTTTTAAAATTCAGAAGGACATGAACAAAGACGCTTCACCTCAGCATATTTCATGAACCGCGTGAGCATGAAGCGCAAATTTATAAATGTCATTCAACGCGATTATTTTTGAAACAAAACAGTTTGCATTATAGTTTTGACGTCAAGTATGGCATTATGACGTCACAATGGAGATATACGTAGGCTTATCTAGTTCATGAGAAAATGAATTGTTTTCTAATTTGCAATGAATCTGAAGGAAAATATTTGCAAATGTAAATATTAAATAGCAAATCACTAAAATCTGTCAAATAAGACAATAGCTAGTATTTTTATATACAGTATATATTGCAGGTACAAGTTCTCTGAAATAACCTATTCATTCAATGTGTTCAAGCGACCCCCCCCCCCCCCTTTCCGATTCCAAGTCACAGTGCAGAGAACTCGATGAGTGTTCAGAGCATGAACAATTTGGCCCTTGGACCACTGTGCACTGGTTTAGAATGTATATATCTATATTGATATGATAACGGGATGAATATTTTGGAGATGGGAAAATTAAAAAAAAATATGCATATTGCTTTTTTGTGTACTTTCTGTTCGTATCAGGTGGTACATGATACTTTTATCATTCTGCTCTACGTATAAAATGAGCAACCACCACAAGATTTTCAGAAAAAAAAATATTTATTAATCTATACGTATTTTCTATAGTTTTTTT